AAATAAGATGTTTCAGAGGAGCTTTCTGCCTTAGTAAACAAGCAATTAAGAACACCATTTGAAAAGTACTGCCTTTCATATGGCCTTTGAAGGTTTTGTGTGTGTGTGTGTGTGTGAGTGAGTGAGTGAGTGAGTGATTTTACAAAAGCATTCTGTGCAATTCTTTCTCAAAATTTACCCAGTTTTTTTTTTAAAACAAACATTGATATCCTTTGATGGTACTCATTGCAGAGAGATCTTTTATTACTGTGCTCTTGCTTCTTCTATATAGTTGTTTTTCTGATCATTTCTGTAATCTTTCCTAGTTTTATTAAAATTTTAAAAGTTTATAATTTCCACTGCTTAGTAAAGTACAGGCAGTCTCCAGGTTAAGAACATTCGACTTACGGACAACTTATACTTACAAACGGAGTGCCATAAAGCCTATTATATTAAAAATTTGAGTTAAATACAATGGTTCATAATAACAAACGCACACACTACTTTGTGACTCTACTCATGAAGACATTGTGCGGCTTCAGTGGTTCATTGGCTCAAGGGAAGAGAATGCCCTCCACCATTTTAAGTTGGATCACATTGCTGTTAACACTGTGTTAATAACCTGTTCTGACTTACTTACACATTTGACTTAAAAGACACTTAAGAAGGGATCTCATTCATAACCCGGGGACTGCCTGTATTTCATATTTTGTAGACAAGCAGTTTTTAGCTTTTCCTTTTTCAAGCTTGAGCAAGTTTTGTTTAGTGCTACAACTTTATCTCTGCCATGTTTATGGGGCTATAATCAGTAGCTGTAGTTCTGATGTCATTCTGCCTTTCAACATATGTCTTAATTTTGAGAGGTAATACAGGTAGTCCTCATTTAGTGACCATTCGCAGTTACAACAGTAAAACAGTAAAAGTAACTTTACAACTAAAAGTAACTTTACAACAGTAAAACAGTAAAAGTAACTTTACAACTAATCCTCACATTTATAACTTTCACAAGTCTGTAAAGCAAAGGAAAGCTGAAGTAAGGTTGTAAGCAGAGTTGTGATTTCAGCTAGTGACCACTTTGCTTAATGACCAAGTTGCTGGTCCCAATTGTGCTAACTAAACAAGGACTACCTGTAGGTTATTTGAAGGTCATGCAGTTGCAGATTTATATTTCTGATTCTAGAAATATTTAAAACAGAGGAACAATAGTGACAAAAAATTTTTTTCCTTCTCTTATAAAATAGGTTCATAAGTAAATATTCAGTTGAATGCAGAAATGGGCTGGTGAAGACAGAGATAGAACAGAAAGGACTCAGCCCTGTGCAGTCCTATTTTACACAGAATCTCTGAATAGGCCGGACTGAGGTTTCTTGTTCAAATAGAAAAATAGAGGGCATGTCTGTGAAAGGTTACTGAGGTATGAAATCTGAATCCAGCTGTGCTAACAACTGTAAATATCACAGGTTTCTTTGCATGAAAATAAAGCAAAGGAAATTAAATGGGAAATGGATGTCAGAGGGAGATACTGAAAAATTCCAATAAATCATTGATATTAACATTCAAATTTAATATAAACCTTGGATCAGATAACTGCAGCTTGTTTCAAAACTTCAAAAGGGACAGTTTTTTGATCTAGGACTATACTATATTAACAAAGGAAAATAAAAAAATAGGTATATCAGCTGCTCAGTGAAGAAGGTAAAAAAGAAAATGCAGAGCTACTTAGCTCCTATTTTGGACCAGTTTTCTCCAACAAAAATCAATTCCACATTGAATTGTGAAGGGCAGGCTGAATGGACTGATAGAAACATGTTATGGAAAACCTGTTTAAATGTTCAGGACCAGATTAACTTAGAGTACTGAAGGAACTAGCTAATAGTCTTGATGAAGCTTTGTGTATTAGGTTTTGAGACACTCTGAAGAACTGAAGTGCCAGATGATTGAAGGAGAGCAAATGTTCTTATCTTCAAAAAAAAAAAAAAAATCCAAGCAACTATAGAGCAGTCAGCCTGACAGCAATACCTGTGAAGATTCTGTGGTAGTTCATAAAAAGATTGATCTGTAAGGATCTTGAAAACAATTTGGTAATAGCTAGACATCAGCATGCATTTGTCAAGAACAAATCTGGCCAAATTAGACAAGTTATACCTTAATTGCAGAAAAGCATTTGATAAAAGACTCCATTACATGCTGATTAAAAAGCTATTAGGTATGGACTGGATGGCATGATCATTAGATGGATTCATAGCTGGCTTGAACATCATATTCAATGAGTGCTTGTCAGTGGTTCCTCATCAAATTGGAGAAAGGATACTGCATGTATCAGTCCTCAGCCCTCTGTTTTTCAGTGTTTTAATTAATGATTTGGATGTAGTGGTGAAGGGAATGCTTATCAGTTTGCAGATGATAGAAGATTGGCTGAGAAAGCTAATATACCAGAAGACAGAAATGAAATTAAAAACAAACATAGTAAGCTAAGAAAATAGGCTGAAGGTAATAAAGTGAAAATTGAAAGTGACAAGCGCAAAGTTCTTCACTAATCAAACAAAAATCAAAGGTACAGCTATAGAATGGAGAATACCTGATTTGGTAAGAGTACTTATGAAACAGATATTGGAACAGTAAGTAATTACAAACTGAATATAAGCCAACTGATATAATTGCAAAGATGACAAATGCAAATTCAGACTGCATCAATAGAAGTATAATTTCCAGATGACAAGTAGTAATCATTCTACTTTGGCCAAACCTCATCTTGAATGTTGTGTCCAGTTCTGGGTACCATATTTCAAGACAGATTGAGGAAAACTGAAAAGATTCAGAAAATGATCATTGAACTAGAAACTAATTCCTATGAAGAGATATTGGAGAAACAGGGCCTTGAGAAAAGATGACTGATAGCATTCTTTAAATACTTGAAGAGATATCATATAGAAGAACAACCCTTGTTCTCTCGAGAGTGCAGGATTCAGAAGAATGGATTTAAGTTACAGGAAGGCAGAATCCAGTTGAACGTAAAAAAAAACACTCAGAGCACCTTGAAGTGGAACCTAGAGAGGTGGTAGATTCCCCTTCAGTGGATGTCTTCAAGTAGAGGCTAGATAGCCATGTGTCAAGAATGCTTTGATTTAGATTCTTGCACTGAGCAGGATGTTGGACTCAGTGGACCTTCCAGCTCTGTGGTTCTACAATTCCAGTTTTCCTATTTTAAATATGTTATTATAATTAAACATTCAACCTCTTGACAGATCAGTCTAAGATTTAAACATTGCAGTAGACTAAAAATCGTTCTGCTGCTTGATCATCTTTTTTTTGTAAAAGTCGCAATAGTGTTTCCCTTACTACTGACTTGCCAAATATATTTAAGATTAACACACAATGTGATTCAGCATTAGTATGCCTGAAGCAGATCTGAGCTGACAGTTTGCTCTCAAGCACCCCGGTAATAGCAAAATTAAGTGTGACAGAGATCTCAGATAAGGCGACCCTTGTGTATCACCATACAGCATGTGTGGAGGGTAGTATTCCTGCTTTCACCAAGAAATAATCTGCATAATAATGTTATGCAATTAATGTTACAAGTGGGAAATTATATGGTTTAGCTGTAGGTAATTTAGAGGTAAATTAAAGTGTTCTCTCTTTTCACTGGATTCTTCTTTTTTCCATGAAACGGATATTTCTCATCCTCTCATTTGCCTCTGAGTCTTTCCGTTTTTTTTACCTAGAAATTGTGAAGAAGATGTTTCAAGAAAAAGGTGTCATCATAGATGACAAAGCTTTTAAGCCTCACCTGACCTTCATGAAGTTGTCAAAATCCCCAAAACTACAAAAGCAGGTAAAGTAACCACAATATGGCCGAAAGGCAGCTTGCTCTGTAACGATTTAGATCGTCCGCATGTTATATATTTTTATGATATGATTTTACATTTGAATGTAGCTGAGTGACAGATGCACCAGCGTTCTGTTCTCGGGGAAACCATACAGACGTTATCTCACAGTTGACATCTAACTCAACAGACAGACAGCGTAATTACAGGTCTGAGAATTTGAAAAACAGTTATATACAAAACGTCTTTATTAACTTCAGCTTGGATGTTGTATAGCCCTTTCTTAAATAAAGAAACTTCGATCTGGGGAGAGGGCATTTTTATAAATTTCATCTTCCTCTGTAGTTTCCATGCTTTTTTAGAGTAATTCCCAACTCATAGGATCAGGTTTTTTAAAAAAAAAAAAATATATATATATAAAGAATTGCTGGATCCAAGCAATCGTTTGTTTGGGCTATAATAAATACATGGAAGAAAGGCCTCTGCTATTAATAATTACACATATTTTATAATGGAGGATCTGGAAAAGGGAGTATGTAAATTGCCCTTAGTTGTAAGAAACTAGGATCCTATATATATAGGATATATATCGGTTTATAGGCATACTTACATAAATGCAGATTCTGTTTGCATTAATTTTAATTTGAGGTAAAATCAAATAACTGTTATTTCATTTTTATCCTCATAAATATTGGTAGTGTAACCTTTTACCTGTCCACTTAGAAGTCATTCTCTCATTTTACTTCCAAAGTAAATGTTCATAGAACTGAAGCCTTTGAGTAATAAGGAAAATAATATAAGTGTAGCCAGTGTGAAGATGCTTGCAGATAAGATGCAGAAAAATATATTTTAAAAAAAGCATTAAAATAGAATTATGACATTTTGTATTTTTGGAAGTATATTTATTATTTTTCCCAAGATTATGAATAATATAGTTGAAAATTTTAGAACAATTTGAACTCAGAAAAAAATACACTGAGAGCAATAAGATTGTTAGCAGCTTTGTTTGTTATCATATAAATTATATTGGGGGTCACTCTGACTCCCCAATACTTCTAGCTTTACTGTACTCTTATCAAATTCTGGAGTTCTTTTTTCACTATGAATCAAGAAATTTAAGAGATACATCTCCGTTTTATAGGATGAAAACTGTCTCACCACTAGCAAGCATTCAAAGTAAATAATGAAACTGTAGTTTCTAATAATTACTAGTAGTAATAATAATAGTTACTAATAATTATAACAAGTTCATGTATGATTTTACTTGCATTCTCATCTAAACAGGACCAGTATCTCATTCTTGATGTAATGTCACCCATAATGAATGATTTAAAAATAGTATGGATTTACATGTACAGTTACAAATGCAAGCCATAGGTTGCTGCTCTGGTGCAATGGCAAACTAAAAAAAAAAGAGAGAGAGGGAGAGAGAAATATAATCTTCTAGACTTGATCATATACTGCCATCTATGGTTATGCCTCAACTAACCCTATTTCATGTATTACAATTTATTTAGTAACCAGTAACAAAGGGTTTTTTTCAGTATGCAAAATATCTGAATGTTCTGAATTAAAGAGTTCTATTGTAAAGCTAAAGAGACTGGGACATTTGGAAGTTATACCAACATGAAGCAATAGTAGATGTTACTTTTTGGAATACCAGAATACAAGCAATTTAACATACACAACAAGGCAAAGAAAATCTACTATTAAAAAAGGAATATTAACCCCAGTTTCTTTGCATTTAAATGTTTTTGCACTGTAGATTTTCTGGACTACTTTTGTGTTATGGACATATTTAATGTGCATAACACTAATTTAGAAATTAGTTATCGGTGGAAGAAAAGGTAAGTATCCTGAACATAGCCCACTTGTGTTTTAAAATATCACATCATTGACAAGTATGTTCACAGAAAAACAGGGAAATCTATAAATACTCTTTTAAATTTAATTTCAGTTGTAATTTACTCATGCATACATATTTACAGTTCATCAAAAATAACAGTAGCTGTAATGGTGGCTTAGCAGGATCGGGATCATAGTTTTGTTACCTCATATATGGCAAAATGGGATATGGTGGTTGGATGTGCCAAGCACTTGATAAAACATAACAAAGGGCTAATGGGTGAAACTCAGTTTGGTGGATTGTGGATTTTTCAGACTTTTGTATATGACAAAGAACAAAGAGTAGCATTTCTTTTTAATGTATTTCCTACTTTGTACAATTCAGTATATACTATACTGTACAGTTCTATTATTTATGTACTGTATGTATTACAATTATTTATATGTTCTCTAATCATATCACTCTAAGTTAATAGGCTACAGTATGGAAGCTGAAGAAGGTAACACCTCTTGATTCATAAATGCTGTTAAATCCACTTGGGAATTATCAAGATCTAGGGAGAGGAATTTATCCACCAGGGATTTGCAGCTTTGCATCTGTTTTTCTTTTGAGGGATGGTCAGTACGTTGGATAGGTTTTCCATTGCGAAACAGCTCTGATACTTCTACTCCTCGGTCAATAATTTTGGATGGCATGCCAGCCAAAGCTGCAATATTGGCTGCATGGCTGACAGTGGACATACCTTCTTTAATCTGATAGAAAAATACAAGTTCATCTCCGTCTTGATGGGTATCCATGGTCAGGTATTGCACAAGAGGAGTATGGGGCAAGAGCTTCAGCTGCATCAAGCTATGGAAATTAGTGGCAACAAAAATGTATGGGCACTGGCTCACTTGTGTTATCCAGTGCCTTAGCACAGCAGCCAAAAGAGAGAGGCCATCCACAGTATTTGTACCTTTGCCAAATTCATCAATTAACACCAAAGACTTTTCAGTGGCATTATTCACTGCTTTAGCTACCTGGTTAAGATCAATCATGAAAGTGGACAGTCCAAGAGATACTGATTCTCTGCTATGGATCCTTGTATAAATTCCATCTATAGTTCCTATTTCAGCTTCAGTAGCAGGGACATAACTGCCAATTAGGGCCATAAATGTAATAAGACCTACTTGTTTTAGATACACACTCTTACCAGATGAATTAGGCCCAGTAAGGAGCTTAATCCGGCCATAGGTTTCACTGCTGTCCACTGAGTTAGGCACAAAAGTTTTTGCACATAACTCCATCAGAGGGTGTCTTCCATCTTTTATGTGGATAATATGAGAATGAGAGAAGCGAGGTCGGATATATCCATTCTCTCGAGCCATCACTGCCATGGATAACAGCACATCCAAATGTGCTGTATATTCAATCACATCACTAAGTACTGCAGATTTTTCCAGGATCTTAGACTGTAGCTGGTACATGATTAATGTTTCCTGATCTCGTATTTCACAGTGAAGGTCACCAAGCAAGCTATCCAATTCCTTTGTCCTGGCACTGCGATAATGCAGCTTTTCTTCTGACAAGAACATAAAATCTAGACCTTCAATCTCAAAGTCAGTCTTGCCCACCATTGTGGGCAGCCGTGGAATAGACAGTAAGAATCCTATTAAAGGAATATAAATAACACTGCAGGATGGAATTCTATTATCCAGGTCCTCTAGTTCTTTGCGAGCTACCTCTGTAAGAAAGTCTGAAAGCCCCACTAGTTTTCGTTTCTTTTCATCAATTATGGGGTCTACATTTGGTCTGACAATGAAGTGGTTTTCCGAGATGCTGCTTTCAAAATCTACTACTTTGCTAATTAGGCTGGCTATATAGTGTAGATCATCAGTGAAGACATGCGAAATTGTCTGGAAAAGCTCAATGGTGCTGGGGAGGGAGCGACATTTATCTCTTAGGCACACAGCACTGTAAACAGTTTTATACAGTGCCTGCCAGTCACTTACCTTTGTGTTAGAAAGAGCCATCCTCTTAAGAATCAGAGGTACATTTTTTATATTTTTAAGACATTCCTGTAGGGTCAGAATTGTTTCATGGTTCTGAGCTAACAAAAAGAATTGGATAACATCCAGTCGTTTATTAAGCTCTGTAAAGTTGCTGGTGGGCCTCATGAGCCACAGTCTCATCAGTTTCTCTCCCCACTTGCACCTACAGTGGTTCAGAATCCCATATAAGCTGAGTCCTTCTTTCTTCCCATTGGCCTGTTTATACACAGAAGGATGTGCTTCACTTTTAAAAATCTGCAGTACGCAGTAAGTGTCTTGATCCACATTTACAATATCTGTCAATACAAACTTTTTAAAGGCCAGGATGGGGACAACAATATGACTATCTTCTAGTTCAACTCCAGGCCTTCTCCTATCAAGGAATTTTAGCAGTCCTCCTAATGCTCTTAGTACAAGAGGGCTCTCAAAAGGTAAAATAGAGGACAAATAAATAATTTTCTCTGTTGCCGTCATGTGAGAGGGGACAAAAGGGAATTGTCTAGATAGAATCCTTTGTTTGCTTACTTCTAAACCAAAATCCATATTTGGATAGAGAACAACCTCCAGTTTTCCTCCTTCCGGCTTTTCTCCCTCAGTGGCACCTATATTGGTCAGAAATTTTGCTATGTTAGAATCTTGTTTGGCACTACTCAATATACATTTGGGAGATACCTCATCCACCACTTTCTGAAGCAGTTTGAGGTCTTCATTGTCAGGTGTGTCAGACATGAAATATACTGAGCAGTCTCCAGTGTCATAATAAACAATTCCCAGCTCACCTCCATACCACAAAACACACAGGTAGATTTCAGATTGTCCTTCATCATCTTCAGTGACATGCTGAGGTTGGAACTGGCACTGGTTGGAAAAAGTAGCAGTAGTACTCATTTTCCTTGACTTCAAAGAAATTCAAGAATCTGTGTAGTTGGATAAACAATATTTGTATTAGTGGCTCATCCTTTATGGTAGATATGTGCAAAAGCAGGACGATATAATCTTTTTAGGCTAGAAGCTATATACCAAAGAATAAAAGGGCCCAGGATAAAATAGGTGATGGACCAGGACAAAAGCTAATTAATACAATATAATTAACTCACACACATACACATACTGATGGTCCCATCCACCCTAA